GGGGAAAAAAGGGGGGGGGGGGGTGAGGTTGTTGGCTAGAGAGAAGGGGTGAATCAAGGCCAGTTGGTTTAGAAAAAGGCACGACGTAGCTAAAGACATCGCAATGTAAACAGAGACTTCGAAAGAACAGAAAAATGGAATAAAGAAGAAAAAAAAAAACTGACAGCGATAGGCGAAGCACACACCGGCAAATTTCATTGGACGAATAAGGGTCAGACGTTTGCGATTGGTTATAATTTGGGGAGTGTGTGAAATCAGCTGATCGTCAGCCTGGGACCAGCTGATTCTAAGATGGGCAAAGCTGCTCACAGTATTTGCTCAACCTTCATCTATGGAAAAAAAAAATATTTAAAAAACTACGCTTAAGAAATAAATAGAAAAGAAGTGACGAGATCTTGCGTTACAGTTAAGTTAAAAGTAAAAATCTCGCTGCATACTTCATATAAAAACTTGTCGAGCGATAATACTTGGACGGGTGTTAGACTAAATTTTTATCTTATTATTTTCACCCGGAACTTGGCTTCGCAGTGGTTATATTTTATTTTTCTTTAAGTTATGTGACGAAAAGGATGTGGAGAACACATTGTCAACTCATATGAAGTCGGACCTCATTAGAAAAATAATAATCTTCAAATCTGCTTAGGATAAAAATAACTTTTAGCAAATAGCTTAAAAGGAGAAAAAAAAATATCTTCTATTGGTATGTTATATAGGCCTATTCTATTCCCATCTAAAATTCAAAAATAAAATAAAAATAGTTACATTCTTATTTTTACGACACATATTTGATTAATTTAACAATTCCTATTATAAAAAGAGGTTATTACCAGAATTTTAAAAAGGTATACTTCACGAAGAATATAAATGACTGTAATATTAAGTTAAAAATTAAACTGAACCAAGGGTTCTCAAAGTGTTTGGGGGGGGGGGGCCCACACTTCGTAAAAAAAAAAAAAAAATTATAGCTATTAAAATATTTAACGTGAGTTTTTTCAAGAAGGAAATATTAACTTTAAAGTGCGTTACCAGAGGTCGTCACCATAATGCTGACAGGTCGAATCTCACTAGTGTTATTTTATTGTATGTATTTCTTTTCATGAATTTTTACTAGTCTTGATTCTGAAGTCAAAGGTCATCTTTATCACCGTAACGGGGAGTGGTGCGACTGGTCATAGGCTTGACTATTTATATATTAACAACTTGAACAGTGGTCTATGTTTGCTGATCCCAAACTCAGATACATTTAGCCTTTGCAAGGATTAGTTTTACTGGCATCATTTTACATTGGCTGGACGATTATGTAAATCTCATTAAAAAAACAACAACAACAAATGAGTAAGCAGTACGTTCATATCTAACTCAACTTTTCTCATTAGCGGTAATGGTTAATTTCCTAGTCCGTTGCACCAAGACGCGAAAAAAGCTGTGTTCGGTGGTTTTTTGTTTTGTTTTTTTTTGGGGGGGGGGGGGGTGGGGGTGGGGGTAACAAGATGGTAAAATATTTTTGTCAATATCGGATTGTTGTCACCCTTCTTCCTTTCTTTCTGTGACTTGCACCATGGACCTTACTGAGTCTGCCTGCTCTGGTGATAAACATTTATGTCTATAACCTGATCTTATGCACATTTCTCTCTAGGTAATCTACTCTTTTCTTCTTTACATCAAGGGCCCGCGATCAATTCATTGATCATTCTGGCTCCTATGCATTTACGGGGGATTTGCAATGTTTCTGTGCCTGGTGTTGATGAGGATATTTCGCTGGTTGCAAGAACGACTTAGTGAGGGTATCATGTACGGGAGTTGTAAGGCCTCAAGCAATAGACGCAAGTTTGTCCAGTCTTGTTACCTCAACTATTCCTTTTGGAAGCTTCTTTCAGTCCTTGATTGTCTTTGGCAGGAATGAGCACTTCCTGTAAGGGCTTCTCGCTGGTATGAGCCGCAACTGTCATGGACTCGTCGCTGCCTAGGGGGAGGGGGGGAGACGAGTTTCTGTTTAATGCTGGACCAGTGGACCAGCCCATTATTTATCTTGTACATCATGGAGAGCCTGGATAGTTGTTGTCGTTCCTCCAATGGTGACCAGCCCAGTGTTTCCAGCATGCTGCCAGCACTAGAGGTATTCCTGTAGCATTCTGGTCGTTCTGATGACACCCTGTCCTGGGTGAAAACTGCTTTAGTAGCAGCCTAAGATTTTAGTACTATGCTCATGTAATTGGCTGAGCTCTGTTTTGAATCGGACATGCGCGAACATTGTTGAATTTGCACTTTTCCATTTGGCGTCACCCTCCTCGATGTGAGAGTGTCACCCGGTGCAGTCCGCACTCCCTAGTGACGCAACTGCTTAAAATTTCTCTATATATTTAAATATGTTGAGACCTTCAAATATGGTATCCTGGTAAAAAAAAAAATGTATCTTGAGTGATCTTAGGATCGATCGTCTTTAAAGAAATTTTAGATCAGGCGATTCGTCTATTTGTAGTGGCAGATGCATTGGACTATTTTGATGAAAAGCTCATTCAAAGCTGAAGTGAAAGCTAAAGAAAGTGCGCTCAGAGTTTCAGAAGAACATTTCTAGTCGTTGTAAGGCATCACAGAAAGTGGACAAGAAACTCCTAAGGAGATGTCAATCCATCTCAGTCTTGGTAGGTTCAGTTACAACCCATTTAGTTGACACATACTTGTCACACATGTCCTCTTGCAATTTGTAAAATATCCAAAATGTAACAAAATCAATTAATTATGAAGCAGATAAAATATTATAATTTATTTAAAATCTTAGTAATCCTTGTTTTATTTTTCTTTCTACCAACCAGTGATTCAAACACAACCATGACTTTCAACCTTAAAGTTTAATTATTTTTTTTTGGGGGGGGGGGAGGGAGAGATAAAGAGAAAAAGAGTGAGACCTGACCTAAAGCTAACATATGGGACTCTATTTTACTCTTGCCGAATTCGTATAGTTTGTCCATACATAAGAATTATTATTTTTTTTTTTGGGGGGGGGGGGGGGGGAGAGATAAAGAGAAAAAGAGTGAGACCTGACCTAAAGCTAACATATGGGACTCTATTTTACTCTTGCCGAATTCGTATAGTTTGTCCATACATAAGAATTGCTCTGCTTTAAGTATTAAAGAACATCTCATCCGTCTGCAGACTTTGGAGTGTGCAATTATAAACCTATTTAAGTTGTTAGGTTTGAAATCCCCACATTGCAATATGATAAAAAAAAACATCCGACCTTATTAGCATGTTGTCACACTCGAGTATTTGGTCAACATAACTAGACTTCTAATTAAAGAAAAAACAAAAAGCAATCTGGTGCAGTGCTAAATCATCAAAATATGTTTTATTTTCCAGGGCAGTGTCCACAGAAACATTCATCACAAAAAGGTCACATCTCGCACAGAGATTACAAATATCATGAAACAGCTTGTGTCTCAAAAACGTGGTTCTTGGTTAGTTCTTGTAGCTTGGCTTTAAACTGCTCCTCACCAACAATAGATCTGTGAAGAAATTTCTGACACTGTTAACATGGTGATCAATGTATTTAATTTTACAAGCACAGCTTCATTTCAAAATTAACATTTTTAATAAATATCTTTAATAATCAAGTAGTATTTTTTATTAAACACCAGAAAAATAATATGATACTCATTATTTTATAACATAAATATATCAAAAGATTAATTAATTTAAAAAGAAAGTATTTTAACATTTTTACTCACAGCAATATATTTTTTTAATAAATATCTATTTAATTTGCAACAAAAAAAAAAGATTTGATGTGAAAATAATTTTTTTTTATAAATAATTCCATAAAGATTAGTCTCTCAACTTAATAAATATCATGTCATGGGTACAATATGAAGACTTTTTTTTTTTCCCTTCAATAGGTAAGGGGAACTAAGTTATTAAATAACTGGAGTGTAGTTTAGTAAGTTGTTTCCCTTTAAAGATATTTTTGCTTATATTTATTTACATAACACATTAAGCAGCATTCATACAGGAAGACAAGTCCATACAAAACTAATGTTGTTATAGGGTTAAAAGTAAGCCATACGATCCTGGGATTTGAGATACAGCCTGAAAATTAATACTAATAAAATATTACAGCCATATTCCTCATAAACTCAAACAAAATGTACAGCTGAAATTTTAAAGGAAAGATAAGTTAAAAAATAATGACATCTTCATATAGTTGTTTGAAACCTTTTAAAACTGTATTGCATGTCAATTTCAATTAACCTGCCCCCCTTTACATGCATTCCTCACTTTTTCACCATTTGGAGTACAACATTATGTTGTGTAATAGGACTACCTATGTTAAAATTTTACAAATAGATTGCAATCTCTTTAATTACCATTTTGTTCTGGTAGTCATAATAAATTTTTCTCTTCATATAATATGTAATTGAACAGCTTAAAAATACTGTAACATCAAAATTTTAATACACAAGAAGCAAAGCTTTAATGGGTGCAGAAATTTTTGTTGAACATAAGGCTAAGCAATTGAAAGAGTTTACTATACATTTTTAATGTGTTTCATAAAAAAAAATAAAACTGGCCAGTAAGGCTTTGTTTACTTACTTTTCAACTGCAAGCTTAGCCATAACAGCATCCAGATGTCGAATATCATTAGTTATACCTAAACTTTTGCACACCAGGCAGACTACTCCACCAAGGAAAGTTCTGTAAGGATGGAATGATTGATAAATATTTGAGTTTGTTTGCAACGTCATAAGAAAACTATAAAATAGAACAGATCATTAATGACTTGGCACACACAGATAGATTTTTGAAACTTAGAATTAACACACACAAAAAAAAAAATGGTTGGTTTGCTAAATTATGAATCTATTTTTGTCTTTCCACATAATTGCACAATAATATAAACCATTATAATTTTTCATTAAAATGAAACTAAAAAGATCCATCAGGTGGAAATAAAGCTTCCAGTAATTATTAAAAATAATTAAAAAAACTCTCATATTGTGCCAAAGCTATGTGTGATCATTGAGAACAAAACAATTAAATAAGTCATTGTAAATGTAAAGCTATTGGACACTGTTAGATATCTTAATTAAATATGTAGAGATGCACGGTAAGTGATGTAGAGATGCACGGTAAGTGATGTAGAGATGCATGGTAAGTGGTAAGAAATGTTTTGACGGAGGTGAAGCACAAAGTAATCAAGATAAGGTGATCAAAGAAAGAAATTCCAGATCCCCCTAGGTCATCTTGACCAACCAATTAATTAACCAGCCCATTGACCGGCAATTAAGCCTGCAGTCACCAGTGCTTCCAACACCTTGACTGTGACTGTACCCCTTAACAAAATATGAATGTCCTGCCACACTGAAAATGTGTTTTTTATGGTTGTAGCCCTGTAATTTACATGGCGTCTGCCGTTTGTTGCAATCATTCAAGCAAATTTATAACTCCGTAAATTCACAGAGGTCTTAGGGCAGACCAGTTGGGATTCGCTGCAGTAAACATAATACATCTGACACAGGCTCAAATGTAATCTTTGATAAAAAAAATATTGTTAGCACTTAACAAATCTGATTGTGCAACACCTAGTTGCTAACTGAGGTTACTGGTGAAGGAAGACTAGCTAAAATTAACCACAATAGGAGGAAGTCTCATTTATAGCATGCATAATTGTAGCAGAAATTATTATTTTTTGTAGTTCTTCATATATTTTCAAAGTAGGTATTTTTTTAACAGTGCTACTGTAAGCATTAATTGACTGGTAAATTAACCTCATGATGTTTCTCAGACTGCCTGAAGTGAAGATTTTTTTTATGCTTTTACTTTATAAAATATACTTTAAAAATACCATCTTGTGAGTTAAGATTTTCCTACATCTTGAAGTCAGGTCCAAAGTTAGATATTAAATAGACATTAAAAAAAACAACACTCAAATAAGTATATACAGCTGTAGTGTCCTTTTCTTGTATGGTTTTTAAAATTTTACTTTCACTGACTTCCTTTCTGTCCGTCTGAGCTTTGTTTTTCTTCATGACTTGTGTCCATTCATATTCTTTTCTTTTATGTTTAAGTAGGATATATATATATTGCAAATTTAATCTTTACTTATATTAATGTTTTTTTGTTTTGTTTTTTTTTTTACCGATGAAGGCATTTGCCAAAACATTTATATTTGTATTCTGTGCTGCCATAATTAAATCTTAACGTATATTGTTTTATTGAAACAAATTGTTTTTGTCTCATTGATATAAGTGAAAGCTTTATTGCAGTCCAACTCTCTTATAATTAGATATTAAATGAAGAAATTTTAAAAGTGCTTTGGACAAATAGTTGTTGAAATGCTGCAAGAGAGCATTCTTAGAGTCTTTGCCATCTCATAGTGATGAAATAATCACATAAATTATATAGGGTACCGCATGCTAAATTTAAAACTAAAGCTTGAAAAGTTAGTAATGAAAAGTTTACCCTAAAGTGGCACCAATAACAGATCCTGAAATAAAGCCTTTTACTCCAAAACTGATTCTTGACAATCCACCGGTGATGCCTTTAATCAGTAAATAAAAACATAAGTGCATAGTTATAAAAGAACCCTGATTTCTCTCCCCCACTCCTCTGATCTCTCTGAGTAAATTAAAACTGCATTAAAGTAGCTGTTATAGGTATACCCTAGTGTTCATGGCAGTACCGTTTGTAGAACGATCCCAAAAAAAAACTTCACATGGAACTGCTCTATGTGGAATAATATAGGATCCAAAATGATCAATAAATTGATCGTGGGCCCTTAATATATAGCAGAAGAAGAATAATATCATTGATATTTTCAGATCATTCTTAAATTTACTGTTGCAAAAAAAGCATATTAAAAGAAAGAAAACTCTACTATTTAAACATGAAAATATGAAAGAAACATTGCATTACAATAGGCTGATTTGCAAAGACTGAAAAAATATCACAACTTTGACAAAATGATTTAAGATTATAAAATGAAAAATTTTCTTGATTAACTACAGCAGAAGAAAAAAAACAACTCATGTTCAGCAAGACCATCACCCCTGAGCAGAATGTTTTCTGACTTTTCTAGAAAAATGAAACGATGCCGTAATTGATAATTTCTTTTTAAAACAATTTCAAATTACTGAAATATACTAAAAAGATAACATTGAACTTCATTAATGCCTAAAAATTTGCTCATTAAAAAAAATAGCCCCGACTATTAATTTTCTTATGAGAGATCTTTTTTTAAAATTTCCTTTGAAATCGTAAGTAGCCTCCCCTCGTTTAAAAACAACAACAACAACCAAACAAAAAGATGCAAATGCAATGTCAGTTCCTTGATTCCTTAAAGAAGTTTTCAACTTAAAACAGCAATTAAATTGCTCCAATTTTTTTTAAAGAAGATGTATTGAAGTTGCAAAACATATTTACCAGCAGCTATTGTATACTCTAGGACGGATGTTTTATTTCTGTAGGCAGCTATCATTTGAGACAGGAACCTGTTGAGGTGACATAATCACTAAGCAAATATTAGAAAATATTTGTGGAAAAAAAATATGTATGTAGCTTGATGTAATATTAGTAACACTTGCTGACCATGTAATCTAACAAAAGTGTGTGTAGATAAATATGTAATACAGTTCACAAGGAACAGTAAGCAACAAAACTCTTAAACTGTCTTGTTAATAAGTGACCAAATGTCATGAGACTGGTGGGTGACAAAATGAACAGAACAGATAGTGTTGTAAGAGATTAAACAGTATTTAAGTCATTGAGGCTCATCAAAATTGGAATAGAAAAAGGGTTTTATTAGACAAAAATGTGTAGCTAGGATTTTATTCCACACAAAGGATCAACTAGCATAGTCATTTACATATTATATGTTTGATCATGCCCATTCTAGGTAAATGTAGACATTCAATTATTTTATCTACATATTACATTTTTAAGAATAACCTAATGAGTTTAGTAAAGATTTGTCTTTTGTTCACTTACAAAAAGCTAGCTGAGAAAAATGTGACCTTTGCTGCAAAACGTCCACCAGCCATACTAGCTTTGTAAGAGACTTGGTCTTGAAGCCTTCTCTGGTGTAGAAAGACAGACAGAATAATATCATCATGGCTTAGGGTGGCATTGGCTGTTATTGTTACGTAAATGCACTTCACTCTATTTTAACTTAAATTTCGGGTCAAATCTAATCCACATTTTCTACATCAGGAAAGAATTAAAATTTCTTGACACTGGTAGATAGTAGCTATAAAAAAAACGACTTAAATAACATAATTTTTTTTTTGAGGCCACTGTGTTTGGCAATACATTGTGGTGATTAATTAAAAGATAAATACCGGAAGTTAACTACTAGAATCTTTATTTTTATTTTCTAAAGCTAATTTATATAATCCGGAATAAAAATAATTCTTTGAACATAAATGACCAAATAGTAAAAATTTGGTTTATTTCAGATTTTAACAAAAAAGTTTATTATTGAATGACATATGTATCAAATTAAAGAATAAAAACAAAAGTTTCTGGGGTAACTTGGACAATATATAAAAACAAATGCACTGAAGATCGCCTAATATAATTATAGGAACAATACATGGCTCAAAAATTATAATGCTAGGCAATTTTTCAACTCGACCTCTCAAAGAACACATACCAGGGCCTCCAAGCGGGTTCTAAAGACAGTGGTTTGATGTTCTTGTATGAACGTGTCCTTTGCCATCTTCCAGGCTGGGATGTACTTCAAGAAGAAACATACCACCATAGTCTGGATGAGAGCCACATGGATCACCTGGAGCTCAGTACTTTTATGTCCTTTGTGACTTCAATTAATTAATGAAACATTAGTCATTCATTAAACACACCCTACAATACTTTTACTGGGGAAAAAAGAAGGGAGGGGGGGGGGGGACGACTAATTGACACATTATCAAATATTGAAGCAAATTTGATTTCATCAAATCATTTACCGGTAATCAATATATTTAATTTAGATGTAAGAGCTGGAAGAATAAAAGACAAAATTCTAGCATAAATAACAACAGAATTGATTATATACAACACTAAATAAGTAGAGACTTACTCTCTTCTAAATATCATGTAAATTCTTTCCATTCCAGATTCCTTTTCAATGTAAGCTCTGGCCAATATTTCCAGTTCCTGATAATTTAAGTTCAGAGATGTCAAATCCCTTTCTGTATTTGTTGAAACACTTGGATCCTGTACAAGGTTTTCATCTTTATTCAAAAAAGTATCATCAGTTTTGGGTTTTACATCTGAGGCATAGACTTTAGAGAAACAAAAAAGACTTGAAAAAAGATGAGGAAGGCACTGTCTTTGACTTGTCGAAGTATCTTGACATTTCTTGCCATGACCACTGTAAGAGTGATATGGGAATATGATTTGCCGGCTGCAGTTAGAGTTAGTGATGAGCCAGTGACACAGTCTGGAGGATGATTGACATCTAACATTTGAGTCCTCTACAGACATTTTAATCTTAGCCACTTTCTGCAAAATAAATGAAGCAATTAAACTTGTTATAAGTTTCATCCAACAACATTAAATCTTTTAATACGATCTTCCTGATGGCTGCAAGGAGATCTCTTATCAAGGCAAACACCAAGGTGACCTGATGGCTGCAAGGAGACCTCTTTTCAAGGCTAACACCAAGGTGACCTGATGGCTGTGAGGAGACCTCTTTTCAAGGCAAACACCAAGGTGACCTGATGGCTGTGAGGAGACCTCTTTTCAAGGCAAAAACTAAGGTGACCAATTCATCCTTATTGAAGTAATGTGATGTTCTCTGTCATAAATGATGAGATGCCTGTATTTATGAAGGATGTTGTGCCATGTTTTTGGATAGATGTGTCCCTGATATTTTGTAGGGTGAAAGCCTGGACCCGGCAATCTGAGTGGTCCAAGGCAAGTGCTTAGTGAGATGGCACATGTTGTTCGTGTTCCATTGGGAATCCACAGAGACACAACTTACACATAATTAGTGAGAAGATGGATGCACCAAGGGGTGGGGTGGGGAGGGGGGGGGGCATGATTATGATTCTGCTACTCAATGCCAATTCAGACATCTGTCTGCTCTTACAAAATGGATATGGCCTTGGATGTCACTTTCCCAGAATACTCTCAAAGGTTCTTATGTTCCCAACTTTCTGTTCTGCTAGTTTAAAATAATTTTTCCGTCATAGGTGTCCAAAAATAAACAATTATTTGTCGATACAACTGAGAACTCTTCTGCAATAGGGGCGTTATTTTGAAAGAAATATATTATGGTGATGCTAATTTGGATGAATAATTTATTTTTAAAGTTATTTTATCTATTTACCTTATGCAAAAATTTACTTTATTGTTGGTTAATTTAATTACTTTTAATTTTGTGTTCTTTAACTGTAGCCATGACTAATAAAAAAAAACAGGACAGTGCTAGTAAAAAACAATACGAATGGCCACCTTTGACTTGTATGCACTGACCTAACCCTACAGTATTAAATAATATTTTAGTAGTCCTACAAAGTAATTTATAACAAATTACCTAAGCCCACTAATAGTATATTGAAATGAGCGGAAAAAACATGTTAAAACCTGAAGAAAAAAACCTCAACAAAACAACACAAATTATGACAAGAAGCCTTCATCTGCGTACAAACAACAGTAAAAACAGAATTAGATAAAAATAACACTCAGCTGAAATCTTGTATCCGAGAGGTCAGCATGAGGAATCTGACAGAAAATAGTAGGAGAGAGATTAAATAAAGGCACAAAAATGGAAAGAAGATAGGCAAATTAAGTCCACTGCAATTAGTCATAACGAGGAAGGGTGTAGAAAAGGTTTAACATTCATGCCATGCGGTTCTTCTTATTTCTTCTTCTTTATTTTGAGGGCCTACGATCAATGACTTGATCATTCTAGCTCCTATAGTTTTGCTCATTTCCATTTTTCTAACCTGATTGCTGTCTCTCCCCCTGATTACCAGAATTATAATACAAGTATAACAGTTAATGATCTATCACACGAATGTAAAAAGTTTGGACTGTCACATGCAGGTAAAAAGTTTGGATTGTCAATTAGTCTACAAAAAACAAATGTCATGATGCAAGTAGCACCATCCCCTCCCTATTGAGGGCCATAATCTGTTGAGCATTTCATAAACCTTGGATCCAATATTTCTAGATCTCTGTCCGTTGATGTAGAGATGAAAATCAGGATCACAAAGCAGCAGCAACCATGGCTAAACTGAATAAGCAGGTGTGGAACAGTCTAAATGATATTTCAAAACTAAACGTCTATCAGGCATGTGTACATAGTACACTCCTATATGGCAGTGAAGTGTGGGTCACATATGCCAGTCATGAGCGGAAACTCAACAGATTTCATCAAAGATGTCTGCATCACATTTTATGCATTTGATGGCAAGACAAGGAGCCTAACACAGAGGTCTTGGAACGTGCGAAAATGTGTAGCATATTCTCCGCTCTTAGCAAGAGATGCCTCCACTGGTTAGGTCATGTAAGGAGAATGGAGGAATGCTGTATTCCAAAGAAGCTGCTGTATGGAGAGTTGGCAGAAGGGACAAGACTTTTTAAATAGCCACAATTGCAATTTATGGATGTTTGCTAAAGGAGCATGAGGGAAGTCAACGAATGGGAAATCATTGCTAAACAATGTTCCAGCTGGCAAAGAGCAGTGTATGAAGGAGTCAAAAAGGCAAAAGTTGAGCAAAACGAAGCTCTTGCAAAAAAAAAAATATGAACAATACGGAAGGCCAAATCTAACCAGGAGTCAAATTCTTCTGCAAGAAATGCAGCCAAGACTGCCATTCCAGGATTGACCTAATAAACCATATTAGCTGCTCCATTGTCTCACGAAGATGGATGGATGCCATCTATACTAGTTTATCAGTGTTTATTTATTAATTATGAACACAGGAAGACTTATTTAATTTAGTATTAATTAAGTCTCAGTTTACAGTACAGTCATTATTAAGAATAATAATATTGATAATTAATATCTAATTTTGAAAATTTACTTACTTGACTTGGCAATTTTTTAAAGTTATCCTTCACAGTAATCACTATGTATCACAGATACAAGCAATCTCAAGCATTTTTTATGAGGCATTAGGCTTAGGCCAGCCCTACCCTAGGCTAGATAGTGTCATCATATAGGCTATTAGCATCAATATTAATATGAAAGTGTTCATTGAGATGTGCTCACTACCAGAGAGCTATTGGTAGTCCAGCTAATCAAATTAAAACAAAATCTGAGCTTTAAAAATACACTTTCAATGAGACTGGCAAAGTATTGCCCTGTTCATTTATTACTAGTTTGTACTAAGTAGTGACAACAACTTGGCACTAATTATAAAATCTACAGTACTGTTTTAAAGTTTTAACACTATCTGCTGTAGCCTTCCACATGCTCAGGTGGGGCTATATAATTTATAATATAGACCTAATATAGATCTTAGATAGATGTATGATACTGGGGGGAAGGGGATCATAGTCTAAAAATAATGTTACCCAGATTCTTCTTTGCCAAGGCCAAAGTAAGATGTGCAGTAAAAATAAAATCCAGCTTTAAAAATTGTGTGTGTGCTAATTATTATGATTAAAATTATAAATTAAAATACAGGCCTAAATAATTGCCATAAGAAGTTTTACTGCATACAAAGTGTGCATATTAAAAACAAAATCTCGTTACTTTAGTTAAATGAAACTGTATAATAACTTGATTAGGCTTAACGATGATATAATAAGCTTAGGACAATCATTGTTTAGGAACATGGTCACTTGAACACCCCCCCCCCCCCCCCCCCCACACACTTTTGATTTTCTGTTGTTGGGAGAAATGTCTACTCAGTGTTATTTACATAAATGAGCCCCTGTTAACTTATAAAGGCATCGTCATTTTTATCATCAATTAAACAATTTCATTGGGCATATTGTGCAACACTATAACACAAATTAATCAATTTAATGTCTAGGAATAACTATTTACTATTTATTTTTTAATGCTATGCAGAGTATGCAGAATCAATCATAATCCATGTTTTAAACTGCACAAAATTTTGATGAAAACATAAGCTGTGATATATAAATAAAATAAAACATATACAAAGAAAGAAAAATAAGTGTATTATGTCTTGAAAATCTGATTGGAGTGAATTTATGAGACTAGACACAAGACAATAAATTTTGTTGGCACATGTTAATGTTGTGTTGTTTTTTTTTTTTTTACAACATACTTACTTTCAGTGATTTCAGTGTTGTAATCAATAATAAATTGTGATGACCAATAATTATTGCACTACATCAATCTATCACCAATTGGTAATTTTTTTATAGTTAACTACCAATCACTGCTTAGAAGCTATTGGCAAGTATTGGTAGTGGAGTCCCAATAGCTCTCTAGAAGTAGAAGTAGAAGCTATTGGTAGTTTACTACAAATAGCTCCCTAGCCCTAGAAGCCTGTTAATTTTTATTGACAATAAAATAATAATATAAGTATAATTATAATAATATATATACTATATTATTATTATACTGCCTATAATGCCTATATTATATCTCATTAATAATTAATAACATCATTCAGATTAATTAGTGCTTATTTCTTTAAATTTAGGTTAAATTTAAATGTTCTTGCCAATCTTGCAGAAGAAGACTCTTACTTTCTATTTTTATTAATTATTAAATATTAGTCTTACTTAAAAAATACTAACTAACATTTAAAATTTAGTTAGTAATAGTAATAGTAATTAGTTAATTAGTATTAGTTCAGTAGACGTAGACTATTCTACTATTTTGGCAAATTTTGGTCATTCTCATTTTAGTCTTGTACATCTTTGTAGTTGCAGCTACTTATTGACGATATGACTTACTGTTTACTGCACTTACTGAGTTGAGTTGGCTTATATAATTTATATTTTATTTCAAAATTGCACTGAATGAACAATCCAAAATCAGATATAATGTCAGTTGTATGTTTTCCTTCACAAAAGAGTGGACGGAACGTAAAAGACAAGGTGAAACTGAAAGTTAAAGATTCCGGAAGTGCCATCCTTCTCAATTAATTTCAAATGAAAGTCAGACACTAGTGAATTAGTTCTGTTTTTAATAATAACTATTCACTTCATTCTTTTTATATCAGTGAACAATTTTGCCGTGCATTAAATAATATTTATGATAGGTTTTTAAAAATATATACAAACCAGTTAAATAATAATCTTCCTGTGAGTGCATTTAAAAACTAACTAACTGGAGCATGCGCATAAACGTTACTCTTGACCAGATTTAGCATTCTTTAAATTATTTGATAAATATAGCTTTTTAAGCAAAAAGACTGGTTTGAAAATTATAAATGCTAATTATGAAAACAAAAGACAATCAAATAAAATAATCTATAAATAAACATGCGAAAAAGTACTTATCCTTTAATTTTCTAGATACATGATTTGACTGAAAATTGGAAAATAACAAGGAACAGTGAATTTCCTAAAACATGGTTTCTTAACTCTGTGTGCACATAATGGAGCTCGAGAAATAGTGATTTTTAATAAAGGGGAGCCATTGACTTTAAAGTTATGATATATTTAAAAAAAAAATTCTTCATTAAAATAAGT